AGGAAGTCCTCCTCGCCGATCTCGCGGTACTCGCCGTGCCCCTGCGCAGTGGGCCACGAGCTCGGTTTGCGTCGCTTTGGGCGGCGGGGCGGAGCGACCGGATTCGCTCGCGGCGAGGCACACACGCGCCCGGGCGAGGGTGAGAGGGAAAGAGGGCGAGGAGAGAGGGCTGGGAAGGTGCGGGTTGCTGCCTGCGCCGCGTGCTGCTTCTCCGCGTTGAAGCGCGCCTTGAGCGCCGCCAAACGCTTCTCCTGCAGCGACTGCATCTCGTCGTCGTCGTCCCACTCGTCGTCGTCTCCTTCGGCGACCTCCTCCTCCACCTCAATCTCCCTGTGGCTGGCTATCCGCCGCGCCTCCTCCGCCGCCGCCGCCTCCGCCGCCTCCGCCTCCATGTCCGCGCGCAGGTTCCGCTCCGCCGCGTTCTGCGTGATTTTCATCGCCGCGTCATTCAGCCGGTCCATGTCGCTCTTGCCGCTCGGCTCGCCGCCGCCGACGGAGCTGGGGTTGGCCATGCCGCGCAGCATGTCGCGGGCCTGGCCCGAGCGGCCCTGCCCGCCGGCGCTTGGGTTGAGGAAGTTGGCCATCGTTGGAGCGCTTTGGGACTGCTACAACGGCCAGCGCGGGTCGAGCAACGGCGCGAACGCCAACTCGGAGAAGAATTCAACGAGGAAGAATTTAAACAAGACAACTCTCTCTCACAGCAGACAGGCTCGACACAGGTGCGAACTGGCGCGTGCTAGTACTATCACCGGCACACCACCGGAGCCGCCTAAGCGACTCCGTTAAGAACGGCAATGCACTTAGCTCCGTGCACAATGCCGCTGTCCCCGCACGCTAGCTCGTTCACCGTCTGCCACGCCACGGCGGTGTGGAGAACGACAGACAAGCGCTGCATCTGCAGCCCGTGCCAGTTCTTGGTGGTCCATGTGACCTCATCGAGGTGCTGAGCGTGCGAAAGTTTGTTACTCAGCTGGTCCGCCGCCTGCCGAAGAATTCTGCGGACGCCGTCCCCGAAGCCGCCGAACGTCTCGAAGTCGAGCAAACGCAGGTCGCAATTCTTCTCCCGCGCGAACCGGTATTCGCCCTTCTCGTAGCGGGCCGTCACAGGTGCCCCCGCCTCCGCCTCCCCCTCACTCTCCCCCTCCTCCTCTTCCGCCGCCGCCGCCTCCGCCTCTGCATCCTCCGCCTCCCTCCCCCCCTCCCCCCCCCCTCCCGGCCGCGGCCATGCAGCATGCCCTAACACTAAGTCGAGCAGCGCCCGCTCGGTGTTGCCGAAGGCGACAAAAGCCCCCTTCCAGCCGAGCCGATCGCCACCCTTGCACGCAAGCGAGCTCGTCAGTTTCAAGTCGCCAACGAGGCGCACATGCCCTTTGCCGATGTTCGCCGCCGCCACGTCAGGTTGTTTTGGGTTACTGTAACTGAGGTGTGCAGTCGGCTCCATCTCGATGAGCATGCCCCACGCCGAGCGAAGGGTCTTGACGAGTCGTTTGAGCAGGTATTTGTGTCGTGTCGCGTGCTTCGCACGCGGGTTGACCATTGCGGCATCGCCGAGTTCTTCGTGCGGCTTGCCGTTTGGCGCCTTCTTGCCCGCCTCCACCGCCTGGCAGGCAACATCGAGCGGGAGGCCGAGGCGGCGCTGAACTGTCATGCGCATCGCCCACGTCTCCATCTTCATATCATCCCGCATGGGGATCGCATTCAGGAAGGCGCCAGCCCCCTCCTGGCTGACTGCGACGAACCGAATCGCCTCGCGCCAGCACTTGTGGTTCTTGCACCTGCCAGTCTTGTAGCGGCCGCCCTGCCGGGATGCCTCGCTGACGAAGGCGTCGGCGAGGGCGAGCCAGTTGCGATGGTGTACGCCGACGGTGTACCGCCGCTGCGCCTGCTGTAAGAACTCGCTGGTAGACGAGAACTCCGAAAGATCCAGCAGCTCCGCCGCCGGCGTAAGTTTGGGCGGGTGGTAGCGGCGCCGTGGCACCGCCTTGGTCTCCTGGAAGGGCCCGACGACGTCTTGGTATAGCGTGCGCCCGTCCCACTCGCGCCACGTCTTGCCGACCGCGTCGCGAACGGCGCGGAGGCGTTTGTGAGCCTCCCGAAGCTCGTCGAAGCGCTCTCCCGGCGCGAGGGCCACATCGAGGTCGCGGAATGGCTCGTGCAGCTCGCGTATCGGCCGCGTGACGAGGGCCCACGTGCCGACCCACGCCGCCTCACGGATGTCCATGGCACTGGTCAGGCCCATACCGCCCATCCTGACCGGAAGTCGGGCCTGCTGAACAGCGACCCGCCACCGTGGGCTGTTGCGTCCGACCCGCGCGCCACCCACGAGGGTGTAGAGCGCCTCCTCCATCAGGCGGTCGTGCTCGCGCGCGGCGTCCTGGGTCACCGACGGCGGCATAGTGCGAAGGAAGAAGGTGAGCGTGGTGTTGCTGCAGAAGCGGAGGAGCACCTGGGCGAGCTGCTGCGCGGTGTGGATCGTTTTGGTGTCGCGCAGCGCCATGATGCCCGAGAGCGGCTCCAGCGCCTTGCGGACGCGCTTGACGAGTTTGTCACGGCACCACGCCTTGTCCCCGAGGTACGCCCCGAGCACGCGAATACCGCGAAGGACGCCGTCTGCGGAGTCCGGCGTGCCCTTGACATCCGTGCGGTCGCGCACCGCGTCGAGCGAGCGCGGGTCGGGGGCCCACATGCACCGCTTGGACTTGTTGCTCTCGACGCCACTCCAGAGTTGAGCAAGGTCGTCGGAGGAAGAATATAAGAGGGCTCCCGCGGCGATCAACACCGCAACTCCTTTTCTAAATAGTTAGAGGCTGCGCAGGCCGTCCCGTTTGCTGTTTGAAACGCCTGTTGCGCTGGCCGCTGCGCGCGCGCGCTGGCCGCTGCCGGGGCTCTGTCTCACTCTCACGTGCCGCAATATGTGTCACACACGGCGGCTTCTGCCACCTCTCGATTGGTTCTACTTTCTCCGCACACCTACCGGGGAAGGGGCGCTTGGGAGCGGGGGCGGGGGCGGGGGCGGGGGCGCGCAGCGCGGCTGCGCGGCGCGCGCAACAGAGGGTAGGGTGGGGAAGACGGCGAGGAGGGGGCGGCGGCGGCGGCGGCGGCGGCAGCGCGCGCGCGGCGCGCGCGACGGGGGGGCGGAGCAGCGACCGCTGGCGCGGCCGCTGCTCCGTCTGTGCCAGGGACGCGCGCTCTGCGCCGCTGCACAGAGCGCGCGTCAGGGCAAGGGGCATGCGTGGCGGCGCGGGACGCGTGGCGGCGGCGGCGAGCACGCTCCGTGAGCGGTGAGGCGGCCGGGCGAGGGCGCGGCGGGTGACGGGTCAAGGGAGCAGCCCACACCCGGCGTCGCTTTTTGAGCGACGCCTGTGGTACGCCTGCGCAGGGGCCGCAGGGCGGTCAGTTGTGGCGACCGCCGGCGCTGCGCGCCGGTCGTGCTGCTCACGCTGCCGGCGGCGCTGGTCGCGCGCCTGCCGATCGCGCGTGTTCGCGGCGGCTGCATCTCCTGCTCGTTTCGCTCGCACCCGAGCGGCTGTCGCCAGGCGCTTCAGGTCGGCGGTGCTGCGCGCGCGGCCGTCGGCCAGGCACAGCCACATGTCTTCCTCCTCGGCAGGCTCGCACGGCTTGCCGTCGAACTGCGGCTGGCGCCCGCGACGATGCTTCGCCCAGGCCGGGCACGATGGTGCCGCGACGAGCGGCGTCTATCCCCCCTTAGAGCTCTAGGATCCACACCCCCTGCCCTGCCGGCTGCGGGATCGCGTACTAAGCAGGCTCCACACTAGCGTCGCTGGGGGTTCCCTGCCCTAGTTGGCCGTTTATCCTGAGACACGTCGAACCAGGGCGCCTAGATGTACTCAAGGTGAAAGAGGGTGAAGCACATGCACATGTTGTGAGAGACACATATTGCATATTGGGGTTTGCGGGGAGAGCCCCGCCCCCGGGCCCGGCGCGCGCAGCGCGCGGGGCGTTTTTTATGCAAACATGCAAACGGGAGACGGCCTGCGCAGCCTCTAACTATTCGTAAAATAAAGCCAAAAGGAGTGCCCACCACATCCATCTACCGGGCAGATAGCAGATCTCCATCGCTCGCGCAACGTTGTCTGCACGCACATACACACACATGAGGCGCCACTCTCTCACACACACCCCAGTCTCCTCTCGCACGGCGACTCGGATTTCGGCGGAACTATTTGGGGGAGCTGTGACAACAACAAACGAGCTGTGGGGCAGGCTGCGAGCGTGGCGACGAGGAGGTTGGAACACGGCAATGCCCGAGACCTGACTCTCGAGACAGACTGCTTGTCTGCTTCATCAACGCGGCTCGACTATGCTGGTACAGTCGTTTATTGTTTGTTGCTTAGGATTAGCTCACGCACCAGGACAGCCTCTGGCTCGTTATTTTGGCTTGCCGATATGCATCCAAAGTTCCACGCTAGCTCCTCCTTGGTCACGTCTATCTTTTCGCAGTGTCTCGCGAAAGCCGTCCGCGCTTGCTGGGGTGTTATTGCGTTCGGATCCGCCTTCGTCCCCGCCCTGCTGGCCAGTCGAAGTTAATTTCTCCCAGGCGCTGTCAAAGTCGTCATCGCTTTCGTCGTCACTTCCATCCAGCTGCGTCCCTCCTGCTGCCGTGTGTCGTGACAGGTCGTCTGGTACTGTCTCTGGTGGCTGCGCCGTTCCTGTCCGGAAGATCTCCAACAAGAAGAAATCCCGACTCTCTAGGTTTTCTAAAATCTCTCTCTCTAAGATCTCCCCTCGATCGAGCTAGAGAGAGAGATTTTACAGCTACGGAATACTTTTGTTGGATACGGGTGGGATTCTCCTTCGGGCTCGGACTGTGGTTTTAGGCGCCAAAAAAGGAAATAAAATTCTGCAAAGGGGTGTGAACGGAGAGAGCAAACTCCTGGCAGCTCCCACAGTCGAAATGTGCGCCAGCTGCCCGCTCACCTGTGTCACGCCGCCGCGCACGCACCTCGCTATGTGCTCGCGCGAGCTCCCGCCCGAGCCTCCAGCTCGGTTTCCCACTGCTGCGGAGCCGATCGCTTTTCCTCGGCGCTCGCGTCGAGCCGAGCTCTCGGCACTCTACGGCGGGCGTCGCTGTGCGGGGCGCCCGTTTCCTGCTGGCCCGAGCGGAAAGCTCCACGTGCCCGCGCGAGCTCCGGGCCGAGCCTCCAGCTCGGCGTCCCACTGCTGAGGAGCCGATCGTCGTCCGTCGGTGCTCTCGAGGAGCCGAGCTCCTTGGCCTGCGGCCGGCGACGCTGCAGGACGGCGCGCGCGCACCCCCCCCCCCCTCACCCGCGCGCTCTTCCGCGGGCGGCGCACACGCACCCCTCGCCCCGGCGCTCTTCCGCGGCGCAGCCCCCCCCCCCCCCTCCCTCGATCTCGCGGCGAGAGCACGAGCGCGCCGTCCCCCGGCGACGCGCCGCCACGCTCTTCCTTAGGTCGTCCTCCGAGATATCGGTGCCGGACCGGCGGGGCGGGGGCGGGGTGGCGTCGGAGCAAGTGTCTCGGCCTTCGGTCGACGGAGCGGCGACCCGCGAGTACGCTTCGTGGGCGCCCGACGAGGGTGGTGCTGCTGTCGCTCTGCCGCGTGCGCAGGCGTGCGCAGGCGTGCCGAGGTCTCGCGACGGCACTCAGC